ACTGTGAGGGCATTGTCACATACACATATTCCTAATGAAATACTTCAAGGTGATAGCGGAGTGCTTCGCCGGAACATTCACCTTGAAAATTCAAGATGTTCCAGACCCACATGTCTGACTTGTTTTGACTGATTATGTTCGAATTTTTAATATTCATTATACATCATGTCATTGATATACGAATATATTGGTTTGATGATCCTTTTCTAAGTGGCCAAATGGTGGCTATTTTTGTGCTAAAAAAATCATCAAATATCAAGCATTTCTTGCATTTATGGATGGATTTTGTTCAAATGTATAAACCCAGGTTGTGATACTGAATCATGCCTATAAATTGGACAGACTAAAGACAGTTTGGGTTGATCATTTCAACTTGGTGTCCGTCACTTCAACTTGCTTTCCTGTGTGTTCTACTACGATACGATATTACAGGCTACAACCATCATTCTGTGAGACTTGTATGAACTGCTCTGTGATCTCCTGCTTTCAGCGGTGCCCTCCAGAATACCAGCGTTCCTCTGCAAGCAAGACTCCTGTATTTCTCTGTTGTTGTGTTGCAGAAGCCATTGACTGTCGTCCATTAATACATCATGGAAGTGTGAGTTATCACCAATGCTCACTTCCCTAAGCAATCCCCTATTTTAGTGATTTTATTCATTGTATTTCTCTGTGCTTTATTTCTTGTAATTACTTTGAGAGGTATTAAAGTCAGGATATTTTGGTGTATGTGTATTTCATTTCCAGTACTATTGTCTTGTCTACCCATACTAGCAGTGAAAGAACCCCCTGTCCAGTGTGAGTTCTGTGGGTAGACCTCTCAATTGCGATAAGCAGGCCGTACACTGTGACAATCAAAATCAAGCATTTCTTGGCTGTGTACAAATGGATTTTGTTCAAACTTGGTACATACATTGGACATTATGGGTTCCTGATGCACATCATTTTGTTTTCAGATAAGATTTAAAATGGCCGACTGACAGCCATTTTGTTTTAATAAATGTAGTTCTAGTGCCATATCCCTGACTTGCTTTGACTGATTATGTTCAAATTTTAAATATTCATTATACATCATGTCATTGATATACAGATATATTGGTTTGACGATCCTATTAAAAATGGCCAAATGGGGACCATTTTTGTGCTAAAAAATCATCAAATATCAAGCATTTATGGATGGATTTTGCTCAAACTTGGTACATACATTGGACATTCTTGATGTTCCTGATGCACGTTATTTTATTTTTTAGATTGGATTTTAGATCCAATTTAATTGCATATACACATATTATGCATGTAGCAGTACAAAACAATTTGTGTTTAGATGAAAGATGATGTGATGACTTTATTTTAGCATTTCCCCTAATTGCAATGGGGTCTGTGTGACTTGTATATATTGATTTGATTGATTGACCATGTGACCAGTGCTGCTATATTTTACTATACAGGTGATGGAGACCATTTTAAAAGTCTTTCCTGTGGAAGGATCTGAAATGTTCAGACAGCTTTTACCAGATATATTACATGCTGTATTGAAAGGAGATGTGAGTATATACTACTTTATGATTTGAAAACTTACTGTACATGGTACAACCCTTTTAAATAGAGATTTTGTTGCTATGGTCATCAGATGTCATATTGTGCCTGGCTTCTGCTAACCTTTCACCTACGACATTTTTGCCACCAATGGCATAGGCAAATAACATATTATAACATAATAACATAACATCACCCTCAGAAATAAACATCTGGAAAATATATTACTTATGGCTATATTATAATGGCATATTTAATTTTGTGCATGAATTTTTCATTGACTAATGTTATCCCAGTTTGCCAAGTGTCTAAACAAGTTGATGATTAGTATGTAGTATGATCCACTTTCCAAAGTCAAAGTAGTGTACAGTCTGCATATTCTGATTTATTGAAGAATAAAAACCAACGAATCATGGCAAATGCATTGTAATGTGAAAGTGCCTGTAATGCAGGGATATATTCTGTTACAGAAAACTTGTTGAATTTTATTGAATATTTCTCTTCTCAGGAATACCCTATGGTGATATCCATGTACCTGTCTGTTCTGGCAAGGATTATGTTACAGAATGAAACTTTCTTTTTCTCATTCTTGGATGATGTTGCTCGTCATTGTGAAAAACAGGTAATTCAAAATAGCACTTTTCCATCTCTAAATTCCACCAAGTACCACCTCTATTAATCTGACAATTTTATATCCCTGCCTTGTCGCGTCTTTTCATGCATGGTCAAAGTTCCTTTTCCACAGAGTGCACAGGTCGCGGCTTTCTCCAAGCATTCGTTCAGGGACTTTAGGTCGATTATACCCAGGACTTCAGAATCTTCTTCCATTATATTGTCATTATGGCCCATGGCATATCTGTTTCTTCTGTTGTACATATGTATGATCCCATGTCTGTTTCATACTCCGAGTCGGACTCTGTCGGGAAGCTGTCACTTTCGGTACAGTATGCCCTAAAAATCGCGTCTTCTCATTGGTTATGATAGAAACCACAGTCTGATTCCTTCAGTAACATTCTTTTTTTTTTCTAACATAGTGTCCGTCTTTCCTTTTCCGGATCTGTTCTCCTTTTTACTCTGCGTGGTATTGCTGTATATGATAAATAAATCTTGGGATATAAAATAGCTGAGTGTTGCGTATGAACGCCATTTGTGAAACCATGGAGGTAGCTCCATGGTGAAAGAAGTTAAATGAAACGAAACTGGTCTTCCCGAAACATGATTTGCATACAACTGTTAAGCTCTAGCGGTCAATCAACATTAATTAAGCAAGATTTATGCAAATTAAACAGTTAAACTAAGACCGTGGCACATGTGTTTTTAATAATTTAAACCTAGTTTATAAGGTGTTCTACTCACAATAGGATTTTGAAATTTTCACTCAAGAACAAGGATGTTTTCTGCTATATAAAAAGTTAAAAAAAGTGAAATTCCACGCCAACGCCACCTTAAAGTATTTTTTTAGACAATCATTTTTGATTTTTGACAAAGGGAGTCTTTGCAGTTAGTAAGTCTGTCTGCGTGTGTCTGTGTGTGTGTCTGTTCCACTGATATCTCAAGAACCATACATTGATTTTTTATGAAACTTGTTGCATATATGCTCTGGGCCTATGCGCAGATTTGATTAGGTTTTGCTAAAAATCCATGCATATTAATTACCTAATTTGCATGATAATTAGCTGATTTTTAGCTGTTCCACTGATATCTAAAGAACCACTCATTGGATTTTGATGAAATTTGACACATAGATGCTCCAAACTAATGCGCAGATTTGATTAGTTTTGGGTGAAAATCTGTGCAATATTAATTACCTAATTTGCATAATGATTAATCAATTTTCAGCTTTTGATATTTCAAGTAGCAATCATCACATTTCAATGACGCTTGGTACATAGTTACTTAAGGACTGTGCAGACCCCTGATTAGTTTTTTGGTAAATATTTGTGCATATTAATTACCTTATTAGCATAATTAGGTAATTTTCAGCTTTTTGCCTGATATCTCAAGTACTAATCATCATATTTCAATGAGACTTGCTACATAGATCTTCTAGGACTATGCAGAGACCTGATAAGTTTTAATTGAATATTAATTACCTAATTTGCATAAAGTTCTACTGATATATAAAGAACCACGAATTGGATTTTAATGAAACTTTTAAAGAGAACTATGCAGAAACCCAATTAGTTTTTGGTAATTATTTATGCTTATTATTAACGTAATTAATTAACACTGATCACATTTGAATAAAATTTGATACATAAATGCGCTAGGACAATAGACACGCCTGATTAATTTGGGGTTAAAATTTGTTCATATTAATAATTAGTCCCCGTTCAGACGAAGTCCGAAAACTGGGACTTATAATTCGGTCTCCATCCGTCCGTCTGTGCGTCCGTCCGGAGTCATATCTCAGAATCCCTTTGACTGATTCAGTTAATTCTTTGCATGTGCCTAGTACTTTATGTGGGACATATGCACATGCAATGGTTTAGCGATTCGATTCAAAATGGCCGACTGGCAGCCGTCTTGTTTTTGGAAAATGTTGTATTTTGGGAATGCTTTGTCAGTTTTCATTCAAACTTGGTACATAGATTATACATGTTAGGATACATGTTCATGACGATTTATTTCACAATTGGGTCAATAGTGGCCGACTGGCAGCCATCTTGTTTTTTTTAAATGTCGTATTTTGTACATGCTTTATCAGTTTTCATTCAAATTTAGTACATAGATCATACATGTTAGGATACATGTCCCCGACTGTCCGTGAGTTCCTGAGTCTGTCTGTCCGTCCGTCCGTCCGTCCGTGCATCTGTCTGGAGTCATATCTAAGAATCCCTTGGACCGATTTGTGAAAATGTTGTATTTTGGACATGCTTTGTCAGTTGTCATTCAACATTGGTACATAGATTACACATGTTAGGATACATGTCCATGATGATTTATTTCGCAATTGGATCAAAGATGGTGACTGGCAGGCATCTTTTTTTTTTTTTTTATGTGGTATCTTGGACGTGCTCTGTCAGTTTTCATTCAAATTTGGCACATACATGTACTTTATACATGTTAGAATGCATGTGCATGACAATTTGTTTCAAAATCTGGTCATGGATGGCTGATTGACAGCCATCTGACTTTTGGCTTACTACTATATTTCCACAATTTATGTACCATTTTCATTTGTATTTGGCACATACATATCAGTGTGTTTCATAATCAGATCAAAGATGGCCGAATAACGGCTGTTTTTATTTTTGGCCACATGGAAAATGTGTTTTGATTTAAATAAACAATCTGTTGTATAGGCCACTTGGAACTCAAGTTTCAAGGACACGCTCGCGACAACCCCTTCGCTTTAATATGACGAGCACAAAGAGAACTTGAGAACTTTCAAAAATTTAACGGGGACTGTGTCATTTTCAATGACTTGTTCATAATTGTTAATGTGTCTTCAAAACTCTCAGCACATGGGGGTTCTTTCTAAGCTTTCTTTGATCCCATTTTATATTGACGTACAAGTTTCTGGGAACATCGTAGGTAAAAGTAAATTGTCAGTCTACTTATCTTGCTGTATGTGGTATTTTTCTAGAGTACAGAACTACTATCATCACTAATAGACATGTGGGTTGAAAAGATTGATATGATTACACAGACAGAAAGGAGGAAATTGTCAGCTTTTGCATTAGGTTCACTTTTAACAGTGAATTCAAGGTAGGAAGCAAACTTATTTAAATCTTTCACATTGTGTTGCATCAATTATTATGACAATTAATAAGTCATTTTAATGTAGCATTTCTGCCACAGTACAAGTGTGATAAAATAAATGCAACTTACCAATATTTACTATATAGGGAATGCCATCTTGAATACAACTCAGTCAATTTTGTGAGGATATTGTATTCCGGAATCTTTATTTGTGCAATGCTTCTATGGACAAAATTGTGTCTCGTCAATTTCAAAGGTAAGAAACTGTGCTTGTTATGGTATTTATACACTTTGTATTATCGTTTGTGTCTCCGGTTTGGTGATCGTGAGAAACTATTGCTAACCTGGCGAGAGTTTCGCCAGAAAAACTGCCTTTTTATTATGGTTGTAGGAACTGATTATGTATTGTGTAAATTGAAAGTTTACCTCGTGACTTAAGAGGTTTGCAGTGCTCTCACCGGGATTCAAACGTCGTGGTGGTGTCGGCGCAATGCTGCTCTGAGACGCTTGCCAGACTCTGCCTCGCTCAAAATCATTATCGCCATGCTTGATTTCCGCAACATTTACATTTGTTTATGATTTCCACAGCTATTGTTCTATGAGATGCGTCCTCGCTGTTCATAAACAGCCATAAACAAGTTTAGTTGGGTCGGCATGTACTCATTGAAAGTGTTGGTTTATTTACGTAATCCACTGATCACGCAATAGGCGAAGTTAAAAATATGTCGCTACTCAGGAGAGCTTGCCCACAACGCTAAATGTCCCAATATAAACGTACCGGTACGTTTATTTTTTCCACAGAAAAATTCCATCCGGCACATTTTTATTTGGGACGGTACGTTTATTTATTTTTCTAAATCCGATTAA